CTGCTACAGGGTGTGTGCTTCGACCCTATTTGGTTAACAGTAATTCCTTGGTAGAATTTTCGGAACCCTGGAGTTGGGTTCAAGTGTCGTGTGTGGGATGCCTTGTAGAGGAAGATGGTTTAGTGATGGAGAGTTTTGGTTATTGTGTTAAGGAGTTTAGCTATTTCGTTGCAGACGGATTTGAAATCTAGGAGTTTCGTTCATTGCACCGAAATTTCGAGTCAAGGTGGAGATTGTTAATTATTGCCTCAAAATTTGGTCAAGATTTGGAAGATTGAGTGTGTCATAGTTTTGGAAAGAAATCTTATTGGAGCCAATTGAAGAAAGTAAAGAATACGTGTGTGTGCCGTGTATGGTAAATGCAGACACGTTTTTCCCTTTTTTTCTTTTACGTGGGGTTTTTTTTTTTATTTCCATCTTTTGCCTAGTTTTAAGGTTTGACTCGTGTACTATAAATATATGTCTCCTCTTTCACTTTAGAATAAGCTAATATTGTTGTGGCGTTGTATTATCTCCATATTGTCAATTAATAATACATCTTGCCTCTGCATTAATTCCTCTTTTTTTCTTTACTTTATACCTTGATATATATTTTTATCCCTTTTTTTTTTTTACGGGGGTTTTTTTTTTTTTTTTGCCTAGTTTTAAAGTTTGACTTGTGTACTATAATATAGGTCTCCTCTTTCAATTTATGATAAGGTAATATTGCTGTGACGTTGTATTTTCTCTATATTGTCAATTAATAATACATCTTACCTCTGCGTTAATTCCTCTTTTTTTCTTTACTTTATACCTTGATATATATTTTTATATTGTTGCAATCCATATTAACTTCATATCGCGTAATTAACTTCATTCTTTACAACCTGTCGATCCCAACAGGGATGCATTTTACTTAACTGTAGAACCTGCTCGAATCTGCATGGGGTCAAAGAGTTCTCAGATGGGCTTTTGTTAAGGTTTTCTCATCATTGATGATGGCTAGCAAAGTATCAACTTTGAAGGACAAATTCACTATGCGTCATAAACTGCCCGAGAACTGGGGAATTAAGTAATGGTATTATTTCAAATATATGTCATATAGATTGATGTTGGAGTAAATTCTTTTATTTATGCAAATTCTTGTGCAAGCATGATAGTGTTACTCAAGAGTTTGATCTTTTAAAGGGGGCAACCTTACGCGATTGTCAAAATGCAGTGACGAGGTTTACACGATCAAACAAGGAGTAACTTTGCCTTCTAAATCATGGTAGAATCATGCTAAGTGCTAATAGTATAGTTTGGTCGTTGATATATGTTTGTTTTATATTCGAAGGGCTAAATTAATTATTTGTCTTGTATAATTATAATATATAATTTACATTTTTTTTATTGAATTTTTATTTAATACGTGATAGAGGGTAACATGGTTACAACAAAGAATCGATGTCGATGTCGACGTCTACGACAATATTTGGGTTTGTTTTGGACAATGGTCATGCAAGTGATTGTGATAAATAATTGTATTAGGCATTGTGAACGACATCTCCCTAGGGTTCCTTATACAAATTGGGATTCTAAAAGAGAAATGACACTTTGGATCATCATGTGCGAATGTTTTGGACGTTTCGTATACCAAATTTTGGCTATTCACGGGGTGGGTCGAGATCACTAAGGAGAGGAAGAGTGAAGAGTGAAGACCTAAAATTCGGGCCACCTCAATATAATATTCAACAATGTGTTCAAGTCTTTGTTACATATCAAATTCGTATTGCAGTCGGATTATATTTATGTAGAGATTGAAGGCAACCTTGAATAATTCTTCTAAAAATTGATTGAATAATTTTCATGGAAAAAGTTACAATTTACATAATTACATGGAAAAAGTGATAAATTTCATGGAAAATAATGACTATCAAACACCAAAAGTTGGAAAAAATGACTATTTTCATTAAAAATAATAACTATTAAATACCAAAAGATAGAAAAATACAACATTTTCTAGTTTGAAAATTAAGTCAATCAAACACATTTAATTAATATTTTTCATGCAAATAATTTTTAAGTAATTTGAATTACTTAGAATTTATTTTCTTTCCATATGAATTACATGCTTGCAATCAAACGCATCTTTAGATTGTGTTTTTTATATTTGGAAAAAAAAAATATTTCAAGATTCACCAACTTCAAAATTTATATGTTATGTAATACTATATTAACATTAAAATATTAAAATTTATTAAATAATCATATTTCTTAAATAAAATATTGTAAAAAAATATTTTCAAAATTTCAAAATAAACGGGTTTTCAGTTTTATGTTTTGAGAAATAGTTTTTCAAAATAACAAAAAGAACATATATTTCAACAATTTCAAAAGAGGCACTTAAAACACAGAACCTAAAATGAATTCAAAACTCAAAATACAAAACTGAAACACGAAGAGAACAACCCCTTGGCCTTTGTTTGTTATTACACATAAATAAAAAAAAATTTCTTTTTTTTAACCACCCATTTCAATATTAATCACTATTCTATAATACATTTTTTGAAATTAAAGGCGGCACAAATAGACCTTTAATTTGTAAACTAACTTTGTACAAGTAAATTAATTAAAAATACCTCTAAAAATTAACAAAATTCTTAATAACACCCCTACTTCTTTCTAGATTATGCATGTAAAATTTTCATTAGTTGAGGACATTGTGCTATATGTGAAAGGTTGCATACCCGTCTCGGGACACAGATTGGGAAACCCCACTGAATATTCCCTTAAATCAAACACTTTCGAAGAAACACACTCTTTTTTCTATCCTTACATTAAAAATTTCCACAATATTCACAAATTTCTAAATCTCTGTTTGGACTCTATTAAAAATAGATTTTAAAGAAATTATATTTGAAATAATATTTTTTTGAAAAATGTGTGATTAAAAAATAATTTTTTTTAAAATTTACGTAAAATATTATCTTATTAAAGTACGTGTGATTAAGAATAAGTGCTTGTTTGGTAGAATTTTGTTAATTGATTTTTTGACCGTTAGAGATAAATTGGATCTTATCTGTGAGAGAAGAATTCAAAAATGACGACTGAAATAATGAAATAACGGTCAAAAAATTAATTTTAATTGAATTTTAAACTGTACGAAATATGCTCTAAGAAATAAAAAGTACAATTTTTTTATTGTGGAAATTATAGATTCTAATAGATTAAAAATCACCATTTCATAAATAAGATGCAATGTTCAATGTTTAATATTTCACAAATCAGATTTTTTTTAATTAATTAATATATTTAAAAATTAATCTAATAAATAATAATTTCATACTCTAATTATTCTTCCATTTTCATTTTCCCCCACGCCCAATTCTCTCTCTCTCTCACGTCTCTCTCTCTCTAAACACTGCCTGGACCAACGATGGAGAATCGATGGTGGTTGTGAGGCTCACCGCCAATCACCGTTGTCACCCAGTCCTATCACTCACCCCTCAATCTATTTCACCCTAGAATGAGTGCAAATCGCCGGCCAAAAGAAGCACGAATCACAGCGAACAGATCTACCTTTGCTGCGCCGACGATGCACCAGAGACTTAGGTTTTTTTTTATTTTTTTGTGGTGCTGGTGGTGATAGTGTTGTGTGGTAGCGATTTTATAATAGTAGATGTGGTGGCGCAGTGAAATAAGTGCATTTGCGAAGCAGATCTGCCAATGGAGGAGCTGCTCCGTTGCACGTTGACGAACTGGTGGCGAGGGTTTTTGGCGTCGAATTTGGCAGCGATCTAGTTGTGAACGATGAGATCTGGCGGCGACCTGCATCTACAACGATTTGGCAGTGAACGACGGGATATGGCTGCGATCTACAGCAGCGACTATAATGAGAGGTTATGGTGGCGGTGACAAAGGTTTTCTGTTTTGTTCCAGATTTGCAAGGCTAGCGATGAGGTGGTGGTGATGGCAGTAGTGGTCGTGGTTGTGGTGTGGTGACTGCAGGTGGTAGGGTCTGTGACCATTTTGGGCGGTGGTTGTTTTGGTTGTAGATTAGCGGCGACGGCGGTGGCGTGAGGCTACAATGGCGAGTGTGCGACGGTGATGGGTTGTGGTGATAGTGGTGGATTGGCGGTGGTTGTGGTGATTATACCGGTTTGGTTGATTGTGTCAAAGTAATTGGATACATGAAATCATAGTTGGTCGTGGCGGTTTGGTTGATTGTCACTAATAATTGGATATGTGACCTGAAAATTGTGACTATGATTTTCAATTGTTACTCACAATTGATGAAATTGTGATCGAAAAATTTATCGTGACCAATAAATTCAATAATTTTACACAGAAAATAATCTGTAACCTAAAAAATTCTGGATTCTATGACTTAAAATTTTTTTGGATTCATGACTGAAAATATTCTGTGACCTATAAAATTTTCGATTTGTGACTAAGAAAAAAGTTGCAAAAAAAAATTTGATAAATTGTGAATGAAATTTAATTTGTGACTAATTAATTAGATAACTGTGACTAAAAACTTTAATCCGTGACCGATAATTTATAATTTGTGATCGATAATTTTTTAATCCGTTACCGATAATTTATAATTTGTGACTGCATAAGAAGTTGTGACTTATAATATTCGTGATTTGTGACCAATAAATAAATCGTGGCTTAAAATTTTTTTTATTTGTAACCGATAAACAAACTGTGACCTATATATTTTCGAATTGTGATCGTAAAATAATTTGTAACATAAAATTTTTAATTTGTGATCAAAAAATAATACGTGACAAACTAAATCGTTAATTTGTGATCAAATTATACAGATTTGTAATATTAATATATTTAATTAATACATAAATTAATTAAATTATAAATAAATTTTAATAAAAATCTGATTTTTAAAATTTAAAACTTATTTTTTTAATTATGAAATGTGTGATACTTAAAATCTTAGTTATGAAATTTTCCCTTTTTTGTTTTATAAAGATGCAGCCCAACTTGGAATAAAATAACTTTCTTCCCATATTTACTCGTCACGTCCTTTCCCATTTATTCAAAAAACAGTATCGAAGCTTTTGCTGAAGAGTGCAAACTCCAGTGTATTCGTGTTCGTACGGAGGAGCATGGACGGTGGCGCACATTGCAATCGTCGAACCGTGGAGGAAGTTTTCAGAGATTTCAAAGGCCGCTACTCTGGTTTGATCAAAGCTCTAACCATCGGTACTTCTTTTAGGCTCCATTTCTCTAATTTTTCCATTCGACTTTAAGGGTTTCTACTTGTTAGATTTTAGTGCATTATGATATTTCACTTTCGGTGAATTTTGGGTTTGTGTTTTGTTTTTCAGACGTCGAAGAATTTTATCAAAGGTGCGATCCTGGTGAGTTAGGATTTTCTGTTTTAATAGTTTTCATAAAGCTCTCTCTCTCTCTCTCCATTCATTTTTTTTTCTTTTCATATTTGTGCATGAATTTTTTAATTTCCCGCTTCGTTAATTTTTCTTAATAATTTTTTCCTGCACTACGTGAACCTGAATTTATCTTATAATTCATTTTCTGTATTTTGGTTAATAGAGATGCAATTGTTATTGTAAATGGAAGATTATACTGGCGTTCGAAAAGGACACGGACGGGCTGGTTTGTCACCCTGTACATATTTCAATTTTTTACGTATAAAAAATGTATGTTATTTCAAATAACATAAAATGTTTAAATATGCAGGCCGCAGTAGCCTGCATGCCTATAATCTTGATGAGAACTGAGAACTTTGTCCTCTATGTGCAATTGCCCCTGCATGTGTTTTATTGGGAGACCTCATTATGGGGTTGACTCCTCTTATAATTTTCCCTTTTGGTGGATATTTGAAGGAGAGCATTGTGATCTTTTCTGAAAAATTATCTCTAGCCCGTTCAAGTCCTTTGGCTCACATAATTTGAATTTTCACATTTTCCCATTTCCCTACTGATCTTGGCCTGGGCCTACAATGACATACTACCCCCATTTAACCTTGTGATTATAAGTAGAAGTAAATACAGAAATCACTGATAACTCATCTGGTATGTACTTTATTAGTTTTGGTGCTACGAGGACTTTTTGGGCTGTTCATATGCAGTGTCTTTGCAGCATTTATGGTGGTTCAGCAGTTTCTTTTTATTTACTTTTGGTTTTACACGTGTTACATATAATTTCCTGTTTATGGTGCCACTGTTGATTTCATGCAAGAAATTAAATTTTTAATAGCTAAACAACAACTAGAGCAAGTTTATCAAGGGAGGTTATTTTTCTAACTAGAGTTGCTAATATAAATTCAAGTTGCAAATACAAATTGTGTAGTTAAGGCCTGCCGAAGGAGAAGAATAACACTGAATAATCTATACAATTCTAATAAAATGGAATTATGGTATGTAGCAGAAGTGGTGCTTTAGCACCAGCCTATGTGGTAGCGGGCCACTGCGACGTTGTCCATTGAAAAAAGTACATCATAACTTCATTGGACAATGTAGTGGCCCCACATCCGCATATTTGCTAAGCTCCACTTGTGCTAAATAACATTACTCAAACAAATGGGTTGGATATATTACCAAATGCTTGTATCTCCAGTGCTTATGACATTTGAATGCAAACCCAATACTTCAGCTATTTTTCTATGTTTGGACAATTGAAGGGCATAGTTTCATTTGTTGAGGAACTACTCACTTATGACTGATTACTATGTGATTTGAGTTACTTGTGTAACATGGTTTGCGTATCATAGGTCTTTGTCGTGTTTATAAGTCAATCTAAAGATTCTATCTTTTATCAAGGACATTTGAAGTAGTAGCCTCAATGTTAATAATTTCTTAAATGTCAACACCTTGTAGAGAAGGAAAATCTTTGTCTTTATGGATTTCCTAGCGAGCAGTGGGATGTTAGTTTACCTGCTGAGGTGGTGCCTCCTGAGATTCCAGAGCCTGCTTTAGGAATAAACTTTGCCAGGGATGGCATGCAAGAAAAGGACTGGTTGGCTCTTGTTGCTGTCAATGGTGATGCATGGTTACTCTCTGTTGCCTTCTATTTTGGAGCCAGATTTGGTTTTGACAAGGCTGACAGGTGTGCTTAGTTGTAAAGTGAGAACTTGATAGCGTTTTATGTTGCTGGGATTATGAAATTGTTATGTTCTGATTCCTTGTATTATAATTTATTGGAGGAAAATGCTGTTCATTTTTCTGTAGGGCAACAACTTGAGGGAACCAAAATTTAGGTTTCGTCAAGGACTGAAACCTACAAAATATCTAACAATGTGGTCAAATTGTTAAGATCTGCATACTCATTTGCTATATCCTATTCTTGGTTCTCTCCTCATACTCTTCCCTAGATCAGCATAGTGAATTCTAACTCTTAAGTATATATACATCTGAAACTCATTGCCTGATTTTTCTTTGCTCCTTGTCTTTCTAAATTGGACACTTTAGGCAAACACTTCTGAAACCTAAATTTAAACCTGACATGTAGAGCCATTTTAGTGAATTGGACTGCTGTGTCATCCAAGTGAATTCTTATTGTAATTATATGTGTGTGAACTAATTGCCTCTTCAATTCTCTTTTGCTACTTGCCTTTCAAAATTGAATTGTATGGTGAAATGACATGTGAAACCTAAAGCCTATGCATGTACAGATATATAGCCTTTCACGTGCTTACGAAAAACTGCAACATAAACAGGCCTGTGGTCTGCTTGTTAAAATGGTACAATCTTGAATATATGGGTTATAAAGAAATGTTCTAGTTTAATAAAATTTTATTTCGGTTGACTTTCACAATGTAATTTTGAGTTATGGCCACTGCAGTGTCTTAGTAATGTAAGTTACAATGTGGCTAAAATTTCTTCAAATATCTTTATTCTGACTTCTGAGTCTCTGTCTTTAATTTCATGAATTGTTGCTGGTATACAAATGCAGGAAACGCTTGTTCGATATGATAAATGATCTCCCAACAATATTTGAGGTTGTGACAGGAGCTGCAAAGAAGAAAGTAACTGAAAAATCATCTGTTTCAAACCATGGTAGCACCAAATCCAAGTCCAATTTAAAAAGGGTAAAAGAGATTCTCCTTTCCTTGTTTTCTGGAAAACATAGTAGGGTTTATGCTGACATTACATATAGTTTACCAGTTTTTGTGTAATTGGCGCAGTTCTATTTCTCATGAGTATTAATTCCATGATTTAATCTATTGAAAATTCTATCAAATCATTTCTGGATAAACATTGCTAGATTTTAGGGAAGTTGTAAATGGGTGAATATCTTAGGAGATAATTTTTCTCTTGTAGTTACCGGTTAGTTATTTTTTGTTTATCTATTTCTATATGTAATTAATAAATAGACCATTGTAAATCATATTCCCCCCCTTGAGCCCCATTTTTGGGGAAAAATATATTTTTAAATAGTAATTTATTGGAGAATGTGTGGTTAAAAAATAAGAAAAAATTTTGGATTTACGTATCAAATCATTATATAGGAGAATGTGTGGTAGAAAATGAATTTTGAAAAATGAGTTTTTGAAAAAAAAAAAAAGAAAAAGAAAAAAGGAAGATAAACATAGGCTTGATATATCAATGAAAAAGAGTTACATTAATTTCTCAAATTTTATATAATATCAGTGCTCATTAAGATTCAACCAAGACACAAAAACAAGCACGCATATTTCAATATTGGTCCTGTAGGGTAAATTACACATCGAATAACTACCAAAATATAGATCAATATATAAGGGTTTGAGCTATTTTTCTTACAACGTTGACCTTTAAAATGGAACGCAAGTCTTAACATGGTACCATAACAAGTTTGATTTTGGATTAATCTTGCTATTTTTTCGTTAGGTCCAACTTATAATTTCTAAGAGTTGTTCCAATGGTTACTGAACTTAGGTCCATGTCTTTGATTGACCACTGAACTTTAAAATGTAGAGTTTTGATCACTGAACTTAGGTCCGTGTCTTGGATTGGCCACTGAACTTTAAAATGTCGAATTTTGGCCACTGAACTTTGAAAAATGTCGAGTTTTGGCCACTGAACTTTGAAAAATATTGTACATTACTCACTAAACTTTGAAAAATATTGTATATTACTCACTAAACTTTGAAAAATGTTGTACATTATTCACTGTGAACTCGATATTTTTTAAAGTTTAACTGTTATGCTAGTGAGTAACGTACGGCATATTCCAAAGTTCAGTGGCCAAAACTCGACATTTTAAATTTTAGTGAGTAATCGAAGACACGGACCTAAATTCAGTGTCCAAAACTCGACATTTTAAAATTCAGTGACCAATCAAAGATATGGGCCTAAGTTCAGTGACCAAAACTCGACATTTTTTAAAGTTCAATGTCCATAACTTGACATTTTAAAGTTCAGTGACTAATTAGAGATATGGACCTACCTAAGTCTAGTGACCATTGAAACAATTAGGAGTTTATTAAGTTGTATTGTATTAGGTGTTAATTAAGTTGATCAAAATCATGTTTTAGTTGAATTGGCAATTTCCTTAGTCAAAATCATGTTTTAGTTGAATTGTATTAGGAGTTAATTAAGTTGTAATCAAAATAAATGTAATGGAATTGTAATTAAAGTTAAAATAGTTAAGGGTTCGTAGTATAGTCTTTGAAGAAGTCAAAGATGTTCAAAATGATCACATATGATCAATGGAATGCAATTAGAAGTCAAAGGCTTGGTAGTATAGTCCTCTATGTCAAACTCTACCATCTACCTAGGGTTACATGAAATTGGAAATCTAAACTTAGGATCTCAAATTGCGAACTTTAGACCCCAAATCAAGAGTTCTTAGAATCCACGTCAAATTGCAAACCTTAAATTCTGGTTTTTTTTTTTTTTTTTTCCCTAAAGAGGAAATATTTTGTTACAAACCCTATCCAGATTTCTGTGAAGTCACCTGCTTGTTTGCCAACTATTAACTAGTTGCCTGCTACAATCAGTTTTCCAGTTGCTTATGCAACCATAGCTTCTCCTCTTCCTGGATGCGGTTGTAAATCTTATACGCAACCAAACCCTTAGGTTGCTGCATTTTTTGGTTCTTGCTTCTATTTTTTCAATCAATTAAAATTGTGGATGGGTTAACTGGAAGTCCAATAAAATGGGAGTCACATGATAAGTTTTGGGATTTTGCAAGGCTCGTCCTCTCCTCTTTTTAAATAATTGGAAGTCTACCCTTGAAGTTTTCAAAATATTGCTTATTAACCCTTGAACTTTCAGATTTTGAGCAAGTTGGTTTTTGAGATTTTGCAATCTTGCATATCATTGCTTGATCTTTTTAAAAAGTTAAATTTGGTCCCTGAATTTTCAGAGAGCAAGTTGGCCCCTTCTGGTGCCCTCTAAGGTTTACTGTGATTGTATCCATTATTATTTCTAATTTCATATATAATCATGGGTTCGAGTCAGAAGACTCTCAAATTGAGTGAGATTGTTGGTGATTATGCTGTTGGCAGCCCTGGTTTGGAAGAAAATCTTATTACTTCATCAAATCTCTTTTCCCCCTTAGCCTCCTGGTTCGCTCGGGTTCTTGTTGTTAGGCCACTTTTTAGCTCCATCTTTGAGGAGATTGCTAATAATTCCTTTGATTTTTGGAGTACGAGTTTTTCTACTCGTGGGATGTGCCCCTCAAATCTTGGTGATGGTCATGGTGAATCTGGATTTTCTTTCGCACCAGCTTCTAGTTCATAAACATTGTTAGATTTTAGGGATGTTAGTTGTAAATGGGTGAATATCTTAGGAGACATTTTGATGAGGACGTCCAATTTATTTATTTTAGTGACATTCAGTTTATTTATTTCATTTTAGTTGGACTTTTATTTTGTTTATTTTAGTTGGGTTATTTTTGTGGACTTGTGTAATGGGCTTGACCCTCTCTCTTTAGGTTTTTTTTGTTTTTTTTTTTTTGTTATTTAAATCTCTTTTCTCATGTAGTGGACAGTTGATGAATGAATAATTATTTTGGTGGCTTATGGCGAATTCCTCTCATTCTACTTCCTTCTATTTCTCCTGCTGAATTCTTCTTCTTCCCCATTCTTCCCCGTAATTCCCTTTTCATTATAGATCTGTTTTCATTTCAATTAATTGTTTCAGTTGGTCTTGCATCACATTTTAGGAGATAATTTTTTCTTGTAGTTATAAATTAGTTATTTTTGTTTTGGACGAAAGTCCTATGGATTTACAAAGTTTCTGTGGATAGAAACGAAAAAGAGAGATATCGAAATAGTTCTGATGATTCAATAATATTATTACTTCAATTCGAAGCTGTTAGTTAGTTCGTTTGGATGAATTCCACTGATGGAATAATTAAGTTATAATTCATTGGTTGATTGTATCATTAATCAGTCCCAAATTGACGGGTTAGTGTAAGCTTATCCATGCTGTTATTCACTCTTCGAATGAGAATCTGTTTTCTGAAAGATTTTGACTTTCGTGCTAAAAAGCGTTCTGAGTGAGTGATTTAAGCTCCACGCTTTCTTTCCTTTGAATTAAAATTCAATCAAGTAGAGCACACAAAATTCAATTAGTTTATTTGTAGCAAACAAGTATCTATTTCTCCTGTGTAATCTATAATTAGACTATTGTAAATCTTATTCAATATATCAATGAAAAAGAAATTACATATATAATCTTAGGTTATTAATCCAGTTCTTGAATGATTTTACATGAAAACATGTGCTTCAACTTCTTTCATTTCTCTTAAAGATCCATTGATCTCTTATCCTGACATTGGGTTTTCAAACTGTAAAATCCACAAAGTAGAATTAACCAATTTGGCTCAGTAGATAACTCAAGGTATGTGCTTTTATCCCTTTATCAATCCTTTTTTCTTCTATTTATTCCCTAGACATGCTGAGTGGGCATCTTGAGGATGTCCTGTCAGCAATAGATTTTGATGAATGTTCATAGTTGTTTATTCATGTTATCACCGGTCATCGTTCGTCAAAATTGTTTCAAGCTGCCCTTTAGAGTCTTGTTTCTGAAGTGATGACTTTGATCTAATCTATGAAACATCTATTGGAAGTAACTCATGTAAGACACATTTCAATTGTCTAATGTGATGTGAAGAATTGTGACTTGATCACCTAATTCATATATTATATTCTGTAGTAGAATACTGTGGAAATTGTAGCATGTTGTGATTTCTCTTAATGATTGGGTCTCTTAGACACCTTGGTGCACATCCAGCTATTTATGGCTTGCGTGAAAATGAGAGCAGTTTTGGAATAATAATATTTATTGCTTTGAACAAGAATGAATACAATTTTGTGTAAATTGTATTGGTGATATCCTTCTGTAATTTTGTGGCAAAAAACACCTTAATCAAATTAGAGAAAATCTTCTAAATATAGGGGATTACACCCTAACTAATTCAGAGAAAATCTTCTAAGAATATTCTAACTTTGCTCTCTTGAGCTAGTTAGAAGATGTTAAACCCAACTTTCTTGTTTAGAACTCAAAAGGTAGTTTGCGAAGTCCTTTTATAAGTATGACAACTAGCTACTCGTTTCATGGAATGAACGACATGCAAATCAGATCATTCTCTAGCTTCACTTCGAGTTCAGTGATTTTGTTGAATGTAGACTTCAAGCCGTGACTGAGGAATGCATTCTTACTATCAAGTTGGTGGAGAGACTGCATTAAATTGACTTCATGAGTATCACTTCAGTCGTGTTCATTTTCTCTGTCAGAGCTAAATTTCTTGGTAGTCTCTTATACAAGCCGAGCGGTTTTTCTCCTCGGGCAAGACAAAATGTAGGACTCTGCTCCCTTTCCCTTGAATCTATCGACTGCCCAATCAGCCTTTTATCTTATTAAATACCCAACCGACGAGGATCTTTCATCTTGATAGGTAATTAATTACTTGTCAAGTGTCCTCGTCTTTTCCCGAGCTCCATGTCTGCATTTTGAATTTTTAGAGCTTCCTAAGATTTTGGAATTTACATTGGTAAATTAGAGGTAAAGGCTCTGTAAGAAGATGACGACTATTATGTGATATGAGTATTGACAAGGATGATCATGGGGTTATTTAGAAGTAAAGGCTTGATAAATTGGATCACGATCATGTGTTGCTGCCATTTCCTCAGCATTCAAATCTAAGTCATGACTTTGTTGTAGGGAGATGATCACGGGCACGTTCTGTTCCTTTCTGATCAAACCAGCTAGAATAGAGAAGCTTAGGGCATAGTGGTTGGACTTCCTCCACAACACATCTCTCATTTATTAATGGCACGCCCGTGTTACAGTGACTTAACAGACAGTGAAAAAACTCCTTTTAACAATAGGCAGTGGAAGAATTTCTCAGAAGTAATCTTCCGAAAATGGCATCCAAGTTATTGAACACTTTCTTGACTTGGAGTGGTAGCATATCCCTAGAAACCACAGTTGGTGCCAGCGAGTCAAGTTTACATTTAAAATAATTGTGCACAACTGCACGTGGTCAAGTGCCACTTAAACGAAGATTGTAATAGGGAAAAAGAACTAAAAAATGTACTTCGGGAATACATTTAGGGTGAAAGAAATCAGAAGTTTGATATTTAAAATGTGTATAGGGATGTAGTTTATCGAATACAATGCTATGGAAACTGTCACGGAAAAAGTTATGGTAAACTAGTGGTAAACATAAGGGATTGTGTGACTTCTAACAAATGGTTGATTTTCCGCTTGACAATTTTATGTGGGTATATTAACACGTAATAATTAGGTAACAGTTTTTCTTTTAATTCTTTATAGGAAAAACAATCCTTAATTATTTCTTTGAACTCAAATGTGTGCTTCAAATCAGTTTTCATCATAGCATAATAATTTTTAAAGATCCTTTTGCTTCTATTTTTCTTGAAGCAAATAGACCTAATAAAGATGTGTGTGGTTAACTGTTTATCAATTAAATCATCTTGTTCCTGATGTTTTAGTAACACGATGATGTGATAGGCCCCTGATACTTCACATATGCTCAGCAGGAAAAGAAAATGTACTAAAAGAGGCACCAGAGAGTCACTCGCCAGTTTTCCAAATTAGTCAGTTGTTTTGGGGGGGGGGGGGGGGGTTTTTTTTAGAAATCACTCGCCAGTTTTCCAAATTAGTTAGTTGTTGGGGGGGGGTAGTCTTTTCATTCCTTCAGAAATGAGTCTGTTGTAGGAGAGGAGGGAGCCTCTCAAAGACGATCTGCATTTACATTACATTTATTACGCCATTCCGTTGCTGTTCTTTCAAGTTTATATAAACATCAATTCAATTCCATTTCTGTTTGTTGAAATTATTGGGAATATCTTCAAATTAGCTGTAACTGATTCATCATTCTTGCTGTTGGCTGAATATTGTTTGGGATCTTATCAGAATGGTCCAAATATTACTATGTCAGAGAACAAATGATGCGGATTTTTGATTAGGAATTGAAAATGAGATATTTGATGCATAGATAACTAAAAATTTCACACTGAAAGGAAGAAATGTTTTTGTCCTAATAACGATGCCATAACATAATTTTATTATTAAGAGATTGAGAATATGTATTCATCACTTGAGCTTGTATATTTGGAGCAATGTGATCTTCAAAGTAGTATCCTACCCATCAAGTTACATGGCACTCTGAATCTTCTTCAAGGAATCTAAGTCCTGGAATTCGTAGTGTGGGAAAAAACTTAAGCAACTCAATGATAATCATTGGTAAACTTGCTGATGTAAAATAGATTGCACCAAAGTACTGGAATTTATAGTGTGGGAAAAAGCTTAAGCAGCACAATGATAATCATTGGTAAACTTGCTGATGGAAAATAGATTGCAAGATAGGTTATAAATATAGAGAGAGAATTTATATTCTTTGGAATAAGAATTGAATCCTTCCATGCAACCGAAGACAATTTTCTGCTGGCAATTCTCACTTTTTGATTACCATACCATGGATTATATGAAGAGAAAAACAATCACCATGAGGCACCTAGAACTTACCTTGCTGGCTAAAGGAAAAGTGGGTGAATGATTTGAATTGATTTTAGACTGATTTATAAACTTATGCAATAACTCAGTTGAGTGTCTGGTCCTCCCAAATTGGCGTGTTTGTTGTCCATTGCCTGCTGCCGGAAAATCATATTGTTTCCTGAGTAATATACTAGTATAGTATGTTTTTAGATCAGTAGGTTTACCTCTCTAGTGTCTCAGGTTTCAGCTTACTAGTATATTATGTTTTTAGATCAGTAGGTTTACCTCTCTAGTGTCTCAGGTTTCAGCTTACTGCAGTAGTCACCCATCTTTGTTGCTTCTTTCTTCTCCCTCAGAAGTGTTATGTCCTCCAATCAGATCACTTTCAAGCGAAGCAGAGATCAATGCAGAAATAGTTGAGACAGCTCGGAACTCGTCTGGATGTTGCTGCTTCACTCACTCAGGATGTGAATATGCGGATATCTTTATGAATTCTAGAAACTAAGGCCTAGGATCAGAGAGACGTTCCGAGGTGAAGTTAGCTGATTTAAAATCTTTGCTAAGCTCCATAGATGTCGTGCGGTGTGGATGATACCATGAGCACAATTCATATCTATAGGACTTGACTCATTATTAGAGACCGCTAACAATACAAGCTCTGTACTATTCCGTATGACTTCTATGGAAACCGTGACCCTTTTTACATGAGACATGGTTCATTCGAGCATATATGTGTCAACTCTGTCTCGATTGAATGTTCTGAGGAAACAAATTGCTAGTTCTTTTTACGAGGCACAAACTGAAGAGTTTAGTCTGGAAGTTGAAGAATTGTTACCTTAATTGTGTTTATATTTTTGTCAAGTAATCATATTTTCTTTCATTGAATGCCGTTCCTATTGCATGTGACATACATACATATAGATGATAAAAACAACAATGTTTCTAAATCTTAGGGAAAACCCTCCAAGTTCGAAGAAAATGATGAGAATGAGGAACTTGATGAAGAAGAAGAGCATGGTGAAACGTTGTGTGGAGCATGTGGAGAAAACTATTCCTCAGATGAATTTTGGATCTGCTGTGACATGTGCGAGAGATGGTTCCACGGCAATTGTGTTAAGATAACCCCTGCCAGAGCTGAGCACATCAAGCAGTACAAATGTCCATTATGTAGCTCAAAAAGAGCACCACGCCCTTGAGATCTACACCTTCTAAGGTGCTTGGTTTGCCTTTTCTCTATAGGTCTCTTCATTGACACTGCTAACTGCCTACTTTGTCCTAATCCGTCTCCAGGAAAACAACTGTGTTAAGAAAACTGGTTCTCACTTTTGCTATATGAATAATTAGCTAATCTTGTTTATCTTCTTTCAATTCTTAGCCTTTGGATGTTGAGATTTTAGTCTTGCAAGGAGGATATGCATCTTGATGTTGTCAATGTTATTTTATCCCGTTTATCGCGCATGATGGTTGTGATTTGATAACCAATTCTGTTTCTGTTGGAAATTGCAATTTGGTTTTCTCCTCCTACGGCGGAGCAGGCTCAAGGTTCTGTAAGAAATTGAGATTCTTCTGCTTGGTTACTCTTGGATTCATATTTCAGCAACACTTTTCTACTATCCGAGATGCGTTTCTCATTATCTGCACACGATGATATACTGAATCTTTGGTGGAAAATCCGAACGTAGTTTAACTAAACGACTGCCTGTAGATAGGTATGTATCCCCACCTCTGGTGAACAATGGTAACAGTATCCTACAACCTCTATATATGGGAAGAAAATGAATCCAATCTGTATGTGATGGGTGCATTGAAGACTAAATTAAAATGAATTTATAAATATGGATTTTAAATCTGTGAATCCCAATTCGTAAAATTATGAAGTAAAGACAAACTAATTTCAGATTTTTTTCGAGCTGAAGTTCTCTTAAAGATTGGCTAAAGGATTTGTAGAATAAACTCAGTGTTCTAAATGACGTGCATTGATGATGCCGAGGTGTAGCCAGGGCATGAAAATGTCACGCCTAGGAGCTATGGGCTAATTTAGCCGGCAACAAAAGCATTGACTGTTTTCAAGCGCACACATTTTGCATTTTTTTTTTTGGTCAATTGGGTTGAAAAATCTAAAAATTAATAATTATAAAAATTTCAACTTTTAGACTAGTAGATTGAACGATCGAAAAAGTTGTGTACCCAGTTATTGGTCCACCAATTTATGAAGGGCATCTCAAATAAATTTGTTCTAAACTTTCGATGTCTGCTAAGAATTCCTTTGGTTTGGCTGTAATATATTATACCTTTGGTTTGACTGTAATATATTGTAAGTTTGGTTTGGTGCAGTGTATTGGGTATTTGATTTGACTGTAATGTATTGTATTATTGTATAAATAGTTATTTATATTTTATAAAGTTAATTAATTATTTTTCCTTTTTTTTTACTAACTTAAAACTCATATATTTCAATTTTATTTTATTAAGCTCTTAAAACTACATTTGATACTATAATTTGTATGTATTATTATATGATTTTCAAAGTGATTAAAGGTTTAAAATAATATTAAAATGAAAAACGCTTTTTTAGACCTTTTTACACCCAAGCCTCACCTAGGCGCGCCCAACCAAAACTCAACCTCCATGCATTACATTTTTAGAACACTGAATAAACTACACAATGAAACACTTGTATCTGTTAAAAGTAGATAATGAATTTGTCAAACTTTGAACAAAAATTTACTTTCTTGAGCTATCAGTTTTATTCTTCAAGGATTGTAGTATAGGTATTAGAGAAGGATACTTTTTAGCCCCTATGCGGGAGCAATTTTTACAAGATTTTAATCCATTTTATCATTGAAAATGTAGGTGGATCTCATTTGTATTGTAATTGTTGATTCAACATGAAACAAATTACAAAAAATGCCCTTTTCTTAAAATTCCTGAATTAAATTTTAAAGGGGAACATTGGTCACTCTTCTTGATTCAGTCAATAATTGCGTTGCCTTGACTGACGCAAAAGCCGGAGGAGATGCAAATGCAGATCCGAAAGCGGTTGTAGGAGGTGGAATTTATCCTGTGTTTTTTTCCTTTCCATTCACTCGGATTTCTTCCGTTTCATTGGATTACATCCCGTTCAAAAGTTAATAGTATACCACTTCTACGAATAGCTTGTCCAAGATTCTCGCGAGTCCGTTGTATATAAAGCAACTTCCGCTCCTTTCCCCCTATCAAACTATCATATACTTTATGCAGTATAAAATTCTCTAAAATTTTGATTAAAAAAATCACTCTCAAACAAGTGTTTTATAAAAGATTTACAGAGTAAAAAGGTGTGAATCATACACTTAACAAGTCTCCTTAAAATAGAAATCACTCGTCGCAAAAAATGAATTATTGTACTCTTTACAATTAAAGTGAGTTGAACATAAACTTAAAAGACACAAACAAAATGAAAGTAAATTTCTTCAGAGAATGAAAGGCCGAAAGTATTATTTTGATTTAACTTGAAATGAAAGGTTTGTGTAAGGTTTATGTATCTAACATTTTGGTATGTCTTTCGAATACTAAACAAGTGAAAAAAAACACATGGGACTAAAGATAATTCAGAATTTCCTGTTCTGAAAATGAAGGGAAGAAAAGAAGTAAAATGTTAACCATAATTCTTTATACCAATTAACATGAATAAAAGACATAGTAGAGTAAAGGCCAAGATAACAATGATGATCAAGGTTCACAAAACTGGTGAAGTTTACAAATGAAATGGCAGAACCATGTATCTATCCTCTCGTTTTCGCACAAATATGTACTGACTTAACCGCATCTTATACTGACGCTGGTGAAGTATTTAAATGCTCGTCACATTAACTTAATGTGATCTTAAAAACCACCTCAGTCCGCTTTAAATCCATTTCACAGCAAGTTCTATCCTACTTTACCCATCAAAGTAACATACAGTTCCATCAAACAGTTTTTATGTCTTAGCGCAATCTGATACATTCATTCGGGAAGATGACATTTGGATTCCGAATGTGTGGATTCAGTGCAGCAAGTTCCTTCCATTTAGCCCCTGTTCCATGAACTCTAGAAGAGATGCTCCATAAGGTATCACCAGGCTGCACCGTAGTTGTCATGGATGAAGAAGCTGGAGCAGCAGATTTGGCAACTGAATTTGACTTCATCATTGGATGCTTATCCTTCTTTCCCATTCCATTGGCAAGCAGCCAACGCGAACCAGAGTTTTGCTGATTTTTTGAACCCCACAACTTCATTTTTTTACCTGGCTCAGTCTTCAAACCTGCAACGTGCACCTGAGTTACCTTGTATTGAGGAATGAGTTCTTCGTGGATTTCCTCTTCTTTTTCTGCCTCAATCATGATCTTTTCAGCAGCCTTGGGCTCTTCTTCCTCTTCTTCATAGTTTCTCACTTGTGATACAATCCCAAAGATTTTGGGTTTAAGGGGGACAAACACTCTCTCGACTTGGATAAGAGCAAGCATCGGGGTACCAACTGGGTCATAGTTCCGTAATGGATCGTGCAACTGAACCATCAATGCAGTGAAGTTATTGCCCAATAGACCCCACTTCCTACCCTTGGCTCGTCTCTTTTCCACCTTTGATCTTCCACGAAACAAGTCTACTGAAGTAGCATGATGGGCTGCGAGTATTTTATTCATTCGTTCATTGCTGAGATCTTCATCATCAATTTCACCAGAATCTAGCCTCATCCATTTATCAAGTGGTAAAGATAGACCCATCAATCCATCAAGATCTTCACCATTGTCCTTAACATCCAGCAGTTGCAATCCACCAGTTCTCTCAAGACCTATGGAACCGCCAAAATTGACTGCCTTCCCCTTCAGGGCTGAAAATTCACCATTGGAATGTAGGCTGATGTTTGAAGGTGCATCCTCATCTGACATGCCAGATTGTATTCTCAAGCCCTCAATTGATAGGGCTTCTATTTTATCCATGGCCAGAGGAGCAAGATCTTCTAAGGATACATATAGTGTTCCACTGTCAATCGAACTTGATATGAGCTTACCAGACCTGGGTCCAGAAGTTTTTCCTTTGACTCTCTTTTGCTCACCAGGTATGTTTTGCATGGTTTCCGACTCATTCTGCAATAACCGTTGCCTGAAACAGGGATAAGCAGGTAAATAAAACTATAGCTGGTGTAAGATTTTCGACGTTGAAATATGAATTACATAAGTATTGATACATGCATTTGGCAAGGCTGCAACAACAACAAACCTCTTGGGTTCCTCCAGAAGGGGGGCAGCTTCCCATGCTATTTGTTGCATTGTCTTCCCATTTATATCTTCTAAGGGCATCAATTTATTGGCCTGCATCGAAAGCTTTTTGATCCCAACAGATGCCAGACTCTGAAGTATTTCCATTACACCAGAACCCATTTCTGCAGGAACCACCACTGGACTAGATACCTGCATAATTAGGCTACCTCCACTTTTGGAATTCCTGAAAAGTGCAGGACTCATTGACTGCAAAAATCCTCCATTTTTGGTCTCAACAAATGGACCCAAACCTTCTGCAAGGGGAGGCAGCCGTGGAGGCTCTTCAGGAGGCATATCAATTGGAATCCCAAACCCACCTAAGCTACTGGGTGAAGAACTTTGGAAAGCCTTCTCATTTAGTCCCCACTCTCGCATTAAAGCTTCAGTCTCCAAGCCCTCCAACACTGAGGCCCTTGTTTTAGACCTCATTGCATCAGTTTCCATCTTGGCCATCTCCTCATAGTCCACAACTGTTGATGAATGATGAAAGTCCCCAGAGACATTTCCCCACCCTGAACACATTTGAACATCACCAACAACTTCTGCTGAATAATTGTCCATATCAAAGTTGAATAAGGAACTCCCGCTAGCAAGAACTTCCTTCTCGAATTGCCTTAGTAGGTTCTCTTGGAGAATCGGGCTCACTTTCAGAGCTGAAACGAAATGGACTATTCTCGCTCCCCAGTATGTCCAAGAATTCACTAGCAACAGCCTCAGTAACATCATCCAAGCTAAGAGATTTTTCCTCCTTCTGATCTCTATGACATGATTTAATATCCAAGTGATCTTCGGTGCATAAAGCATCAGTTTCATCTTCTTGAGAATCTAATTCTTCTTCTACCAAATCAGAGGCACAAATCAGTGCTGTCTCGAGTTCTTTCATCAGTAATTCTGTGGGGCACACTTTATTCTCTTCAGAATTGCAGTCGTTGAAAGATGACTCATCTTTCTGACAACTAATTTCCACAACCAAGTTATGAAAGGTGGCATCCTCATCAACTGGTATCTCAATAGTGCTGTCAGTTCCATGGATCTCTGCTGTAGAACCCTCAGCTACCTTCAATGAGTCACCTTGTGATTTCACCTGCTCTTTTGTTATCGCTTCAGCCCCTTCCTCAGTGACAGAAAACTCACAATCGCACCCTGTTTCTACAACCAAGGGAGGAAGGTTGGCATCCT